GACATACGCACTTCAAAATCTAGTGCTTATGCCAGCAAAATGTTTTCGGTTGTGTTCAGCTGACTTGGAGGAGATCCATTGAAATCAATGGCCGTGACAAACTTAACTCCATTGCTTTCGAGGGCTCCACGCTGAGTAAAAGTTAGCTGACAGCAACCCTTTGCTCCTGCGAGAATGTGCAGCTCCCACAAACCCAGACCGCTTTCGGAAAGAGCTTTTGCCTACCCTCACTTTACAGGAAGAGTTCAACCTCAGGTTAATAGGCTGCTGAGAAGACAGGCCGCTTTAAATTAAATGTATCAAAATAAATTAGACCAAGCCAAGGCACCCAATTGATCCGTTAACGTCTAACGGTTTGTTGGGAGATTTACGATCGGGCAAAAATGCCCTTATCCTGCAAAGGCTTGTTTCTGGTAAGTAGCTTCCCTCACATGTGAAGTTGAGTTGAAATGCAACTCAAAGACACATGGGTTCGATTACTCAGGGATTGGTTTGCAGTCCCTATAAATTGTAAACCCCCTCACGGCAGAAGACCTGGCTTCTTGAGGTCGCCTCCACACCGATGCTGGAAAACAATGGGTGGTATAAAATAGACGTTCATTAAGACAGATATACTGACTATCATAACTCTTCAAAGAACCAGACGGATTTTCCTCGGCCCCATGTAAATTATTCATCCTTATGGTGCACAGATCGGAGAGGATTTCCCAAATATTACAGGATGGAGTGTGTTTTTCGCATCTGGAATTCAAAGTGTGTGAGAGAGAGAGTTTAATACTCCACAGCTTGTCCTATTTGTTACTGAAGAATTTCAAGCAACACAAAGTAAAAGGTACAAATTTTTTACATAATGCAAAAATCCTTTATTTTTCCACGCCTTTTCTTTTTGGTCTGAATGTCATCTTGTCTGTGGTTAGATTGTTCCTTGTCCCTTTCAACAGAAAATGAAAAGCAGTATTGGAATGACACACACAAAAGCACTGGTGCCCCGTCCCCGTCCCCTTAATTATTTACTGAATTTCATACAATTAAACAAATTCTATTCAGCTTCCATGCTTAACATTTTGATTTCCCATCCTTACTTCCATGATGTTTCTGTTCAAGTCCTTTATCTACTGCCTTAAATGTAACAATTATTTCTATAACATATATCCCACATTGCATTCCCTTCTCATTCTCACTCCTTTGCTTATAGTCCCAGTCCTGCCTGCGATTTCATTTGAGTATAATATTTTCTCAGAGAGTCCAAAAAGGGTCTCTTCTACAAACGTTTTGTCTTCTTGCTCTCTTATTTTTGCCGTCAATTTTGCCATCTCCGTATAGTCCAATAGTTCTAAAGTCCACTAAGCTCTGGGGTTTAAAATATTTCAGATTCAACACCAATCAACCAACCTTTATTGGCATACAGATTCAGCATCGTTAAAAGCAAACTGTACATTTTAAGAAATTAGAGCCACATTGAGCGGTTGTAGTTTTTCAAGATATTCCTTTGGAAACTAAAAGAGAAGCCCATGGAATTTTGGTCGTACACACCCAGCTCTCTAGTAACATGCAATAAATAGTCTGCAGTCTTGAACACCTACTTAAAAAGGTAAAGGAACCCCTGACCATTAGGTCCAGTCGCGGACGACTCTGGGGTTGCGGCGCTCATCTTGCTTTGTTGGCCGAGGGAGCCGGCGTACAGCTTCCGGGTCATGTGGCCAGCAGGACTAAGCCGCTTCTGGCGAACCAGAGCAGCGCACGGGAAACGCTGTTAACCTTCCCGCTGGAGCGGTACCTATTTATCTACTTGCACTTTGATGTGCTTTTGAACTGCTAGGTTGGCAGGAGCAGGGACCGAGCAACAGGAGCTCACCCCATCGCGGGGATTCGAACCACTGACCTTCTGATCGGCAAGTCCTAGGCTCCGTGGTTTAGACCACCTGGGAGTAAAACCCGATGAACTCAGTTGAGCTCACGTCTGGGTTTATAAAAGGGTGCTGTCAGTTACTGAGGTGAGGTGCTAATGCATACATTTGGGTGTATTAATCTCTGCCAAGATGTGCTGATGTAGATAAGACTGAATATACATCTGTCATATCTTATTGTTTAATTAAGTCGCCCACAGCTGAAAGAAAATAGCTTTCTTTAATTACAGCATTTTTCATCCAGCAGGGGTACATTTCCAAAGTGAGACGCAGAAGGGCCACCTTCTGTAAATGTACCACTCTGCAAACATAAATCATGTTCATTTTTGCCCATTACCATCAACACTAATGCATACTGGGTTTGGTCTGCATTTTTAGTATTGCGTAACCTGGACCATACTGAGACGTGGGTGGTGCTGTGGGTTAAACCACAGAGCCTAGGACTTGCCAATCAGAAGGTCAGCGGTTTGAATCCCTGTGACGGGGTGAGCTCCCGTTGCTCGGTCCCTGCCCCTGCCAACCCAGCAGTTTGAAAGCACATCAAAGTGCAAGTAGATTAATAGGTACCGCTCTGGCGGGAAGGTAAACCACGTTTCAGTGCGCTGCTCTGGTTCGCCAGAAGCGGCTTAGTCATGCTGGCCGCATGACCAGGAAGCTGTACGCCGGCTCCCTCGGCCAATAAAGCGAGATGAGTGCCGCAACCCCAGAGTCAGTCATGACTGGACCTAATGGTCAGGGGTCCCTTTACCTTTACCTTTAACCTGGACCATATACCGCACCTACCGAGCCACCCATTTGGCATTGTCCTTCGCAAACATGACTTTCAGGGGCAGACAGATTTCAAGAGTTTTCTGCTTACAGTGGTACCTCGGGTTAAGAATTTAATTTGTTCCGGAGGTCCGCTCTTAACCTGAAACTGTTCTTAACCTGAGGTACCACTTTAGCTAATGGGGCCTCCCGCTGCCGCTGCGCGATTTCTGTTCTCATCCTGAAGCAAAGTTCTTAACCCGAGGTACTATTTCTGGGTTAGCAGAGTCTGTAGCCTGAAGCGTCTGTAACCTGAAGCATCTGTAACCCGAGGTACCACTGTATATTTAAATATGTAGTGGCTGAGGGTTCAACTCCCCATCCCTTAGCAACAAAAAGTCCCGTTGCCATTTCAGATTGTGGGTTGTTATCAGCAACCAGTCTGTGCTCCTGGGACAGAATGCCCAAGGGAGCATGGCTCCATACTGGCCAACCACCCAGATTTCAGTGTGGCATCCCGGAATTACAGAAGCCATCCCGGCTTCTGATTGGATCCTGGGATGTCCCGCCTTTTGGTGCGAGTCAGCTGGCTCACGCCAGATTAGCTGACCCAAAACCATGTGTCTCAATTTGGATCCCTTGGATGTTGGAGCCGGGCATATGATACGGCTTTATCCCACGGCTGCATTCTTGAGGAGAAAGTATGGCTGCCCCGTTTTGCCAAGGACTAGTTTGAATCAGGCCTGCAATTGTGAATAGTCTTAACTACTGTATATATGAAATAAATGTCAGCAAAAATGATTCCGAGTCAAATTGCATGCCACAGCAAAAGGGTTCAGGGAAATGGGACCAAACCCTTCTTTCCCAGGTGTGATTTCTTTTCTAAGGACAGCCTCTCTGGTTAATAATAATAATAATAATAATAATAATATAATTTATTATTTATACCCTGCCCATCAGGCTGCGTTTCCCCAGCCACTCTGAGTGGCTCCCAATCAAATGTTGAAAACAGTACAGCATTAAATATTAAATACTTCCCTAAACAGGGCTGCCTTCAGATGTCTTTTAAAGATAGGATAGCTGCTTATTTCTTTCACATCTGAAGGGAGGGCGTTCCACAGAGCGGGCGCCACTACTGAGAAGGCCCTCTGTCTGGTTCCCTGTAACCTCACTTCTCGCAATGAGGGACCTGTCAGAAGGCCCTCTGCGCTGGATCTCAGTGGAGACGCTCCTTCAGGTATACAGGACCGAAGCCATTTAGGGCTTTAAAGTTCAGCACCAACACTTTGAATTGTGCTCGGAAACGTACTGGGAGCCAATGGGAGCCAATGGTTAAGGATAATGGATTTAAATTTCCCGAAATGGGAATGTTTCCTTATGTTTGGGTTGCCATATTTCAAAAAGTGAAAATCGGGACACAAAAGTTGTTGAGCTTCTTTTGGCAAAGTTGTTGAACTTTTTTTTTTATGTGCTCCCCCCCCACCCTGCAAAATCTCAATGAATGAATGAATTTTTAGAGATACTATTTAGCAAATTTGCCAAAATCTACACTTCCAATATGGGTTGCCATATGTCTGGATTTTCATGGACATTCCACCAGGACACTACTTCCAATGGCTGAATCCCTGCAATGTCTGGGAGATTCTGGACATATGACCACCCTAGGTTATGCTGAATTTCTGTGTATTCTTAGCATGGGATTTTTCTTTGGCAGTAGCTCTCTCATGGGATTGGCTGACTGTGAGTCACATGAGAAAGGCGTTCCATTCTGTTGTGACTGTTATTCCAATAACTGCCATTTTAAACTGTTTTCTGTTCTACTCTCTCTCTGGGTGTGTGAGGGAGAATGGCTGCTGAGAGAGGTTTATGTGGATGCAGCTGAGGACAAGGATGTGTCAGTGTGGCTGGTCTAGGTTGATAATAGGGATGTTAATAGGGAGAAACCTGTGCTCTCTATAAGGGACAAAGTGAATAAGCATGAGATTGTAGATCTGTTCTTCTCTGCTATTTGTTTATGAAAATCACGTTCTTTTGAATATAAAGAGTCTGGACCTTTCATATTGTCAAAATTATATATATATGAGAAATCATTTATATATATAAATATATCGTTTTTATTTGATTTTACAAATATAAATTTATAACAATACCAAATATATATCCGTATGAAGACATTTCTCTGAATTTTGAGACTTCCCCCCATTCCCTTCAGTGGGTCCTATTGTTAACATTTTCAACTGCATATTATTTCATAATCTATATTTTGTATCTATCCATATTATCCATAGTGTTTGTTACAAGTGAGCTTAAAATCTTGTTAATGTTTTCATCTGCTTACAGTGGTCTCCTAAATGAATTATAATTTCCCCCCATTCTTTCTTGAATTTCTTGTCTTCTTGGTCCCTGAGCTTTCTGGTCAGTTTTGCCATTTCGGCGTAGTCTAACAGCTTGGTTTGCCATTCCTCTCTGGTAGGGACTCTTTCTTCTTTCCATCTCCGAACTAGTAGTATATGTGCTGCTGTTGTCGCATACATAAAAAGTATTTTCTGTTCAAACACACACACACACACACACACACACACAGTCATACCTTGGATCCCAAACGCCTTGCGAGTTGAACATTTTGGCTCCCAAATGTCTCAAACCCAGAAGTGAGTGTTCCGGTTTGCAAACATTCTTTGGAACCCAAACATCCGACACGGCTTCCGTGGCTTCCGATTGGCTGCAGGAGCTTCTTGTGGCCAATCAGAAGCCTTGACTTGGTTTCCAAGTGTTTTGGAAGTCGAACGGACTTCCGGAACAGATTCCGTTCGACTTCCAAGGTACCACTGTATATATATACACACACAACAACAACAACATCCAGCTCCTGTGACTATCTGGGAAGAGAAAGCTTCAAACGCACCATGAAAACAGCCTGTTCAGCCCCTGGCAGTGGAGAAGCCTTTCACATTGCTCTCTAATGAGCCCCTTTGGCTGATGAGAAGCATAACACTGACAGGCTCCAGATGCTGTAGTCGTCAGCCCTCCACATCTCCAGGCAGCTCTTTCTCTGCCTGAAGTTAAAGGGAGTTAAAGGGAGCCCTGCTGTTGTTGTGGACGGAGGTGGGATCGAGACCTCTGAGAGCTCCTGATGAAACTGGAGGACCTTGGTGAGTTGACAGAGTCACTGAAATACCTCCAAGTTTTCCTTTCCTTTGTGGCTCAGATAATGGACACAGATATGGGACCAGGGCCTTTTTTTTCTTTCAACCGGAGCTCGAAGGAGCTCAGTTCTGGCCCCTCTCAGGCAGGAGCCATTGCCATTCTAAGAGAACAAGGGAGAAGTTCATGGTGAGCTCTGGCACCTCTTTGTCTAGAAAAATAGCTCTGTATGGAGCTAAAGACTAGTAGCTTGCCGTGCCTTGGGGAGTTCTGGGTGCCACAATTTAAGAAGAATATTGGCAAGCTGGGATGTGGGCAGAGGAGGGTGACGGAGATGATCAAGGGTCTGGAAACCAAGCCCTGATATGACATTGGGACGTAGCATGCAGTGTGATGTACGTGACTTCGCCCCCCCCCCATCTCCCTCACAAGTTGGCGCCTCTGTTGGGCAGCGCCATTGTCGCTCCTCTGCCTTTAATGCCCACGGCAAAGTCAGAGATTTGAGGCAGATGGGACAGAAACGGTGATCTCATCTATAAGAAATACAGTACTTCGCCATTTGTTTTAGGGGTAACCCGCCCTTGTGAGGATCACCCGTATCTGTCGTGATTAGATCCTGTATTTATTTATTTATTTATTTATTTATTCATACATACATACATACCCTGCCATCTGGCTGGGTTTCCCCAGTCACTCTGGGCGGCTCCCCACAGAATATTAAAAACACGATAAAACAGCAAACATTAAAAAGTTCTCTAAACAGGGCTGCCTTCAGATGTCTTCTAAAAGTCAGCTGTTTCCTTGACATCTGATGGGAGGGCGTTCAACAGGGCGGGTGCCACTACCATGAAGGCCCTCTGCCTGGTTCCCTGCAGCTTCACTTCTCGCAGTGAAGGAACCCCCAGAAGGCCCTCAGCACTGGACCTCAGTGTCCGGACTGAACGACGGGGGTGGAGACACTCCTTCAGGTATACTGTGTCTTATTGTTTCCTTTCCCCCAATACCATCCTTGGTGTGAAACAGCGTACATATTGTTTTGACCAGAATCCATTATTCAGTCCATTCATTTCTCGCCGGAGATTCGTAACTGGGGGAAAGAGTTGAGGAACGGGTGGCAAGGGATGGGTGGGGAAATACCACTGGTGAGGAGCATCGCCAGCATGAACGGTCACCCCTGTTGTCCCACCAAAACCGCAAAATTCTGGGATAATACAGGTGGTGGGGAGAGATTGAGAAACGCGGGTGGCTTGCTTCAGATTCACTGTAAACACTGTACACTGACACCACGCAACAGAGGGCTACATTAATGTTCAGCACACATGGCTCTCATCCTACTTCGTGCATGGGATGCTGGCTACAGAAGGGGCTTCCAATTTTTAAAAAGAAAAATGACCAAAAGCTTAGCTGTTAGCCCAGAGTACAGCTCCTAACAACTGAAAGCTGAATAATTAAATTAAAAGAGGATTATATCCTGCAGGCAAACGAAATAATGTCTCCTGCAGGTATTGGCAAGGCGGCAATGTTTCCACCTCCCTCCCACCCCCGCTGCTGAACTCAGCAGCATGGGGGTACGAAAATACCACTCCCCCGGTCTTAATAGTTATTTTAAAAATATTCATAGCCAAGGGTAAAATGGTTGGCAATAATACGCCTTGCCTTCATTATAAATAACACTTGTTTCTAGTGCAAGGAGAGTAATAACAAGCAGGACTGGTCTGCAACAAAATGTGGCAGTCTTGTGTATTCCACTTTAGGATGCTCGCTAGCCAGCCAGCCAGCCAGCCAGCCAAACCCTTTCCCAAGAGGCTCCATTCCGTGACCACTTCCCTGTGGTTTTCTACTCCCTCCTTGCCTCAACATGACATCAACATTCCATAGCCACTGAGCATGCTCAGTCCTCCTCATGGAGATGTTTTTGTATAGTCCCCCACCCCTAAATATATTTTGGTTTACTTTTTGCAGTTTCCTCACAACCTTTCCTTTCCCCCTCTCGTGTGCAAATAATGTCGTGTTGGTCCCTTGGAGAATGTGTTTGTTATTAGGGCATTCCATCTGGAACGATGATTCTGTTCTGTTTCTAAACTCCCAGGACAAGACCAATTCCTGCATCTCTCTCGCTCAAGCCAGCCACTTCTTCATCCTCCAATCATTCTGCTCTCCCTTCATCCTCTGACCTGTGTCACACCACCAATCCCCTGGCTCTTGTTAGATTTCTGTTGCGTGTGTAGGTCCCTAAGCCACCCCTCAAAATAATTCACACATCACACGTAATTTAAGTTTAAGGTTTTTGGGCACTCTTTTGGCCACAACTTTATTAAAATACAAAATCGGTGAGTGGTTGCTTAGACATTGGTTATGACTATCTGTCCCCCCGCCTGGGACAGAACTGACATTCCGAACTCCATCGGAAGCCAGTGAAGGGAAAGGCAATGTTGGGGATCAGTTGAGGTGAGCGTCAGTCCCTCACCACTCACCCAACCAGCACCCCAAGGCTTGCTGGTCCTGGTCCCATTTCAGGGATTGGAAGAAATCGTGGCAAGCCCCAGGATTCCTTTAACGGAATTCCCTTCCAGCACCATTGGAGGGGCAGGCACAGCCTATCCTGACCCCTCCACCACCAGCTTTTTATAACCAATGCCTAACCGCAACCTTACAAGTTGTGACGAATTGCTAAGTAGTAGGCAAAAACGAAGTGGCACCAGCCAATCAGCCAAATTGCAAAATTCCTACTAGGTCCCATGACAGGCAAAGCAAGGTCAACCGGAACACGGGGAGGGCGGATGGGTGATCCGATGCACTCTGCTAAAGAGAAAGCAAAAGGCAGAGTGCCCCAATATTTAAAGACTATGGTCCCATCCACCAATTCGCTACATGCAATTTGCCCCAGCAACCCATTCAGCCAATCGTTGCACCAGGCAATAGCCATTAACCTGCCTGGCAACAGAGGGCTGGCCTGGCGGCCCACACCGCAACCCATGCTCTCATTTTAGGGAGAACACGCTTTATGCCGCTGTGCAGTTTTTGGAGTCACAAGACTCTGTTGACATTCCAGACTGTTGGAAGTCTCACGGGAGACAGGAGACGGATGTTGATGTTACTGGTTTCCTGTTTCTTTGCTCCTTGTTGTTCACTGTCTCTCACAGAGAGCAGACGCATATTCTTTCTGTCCTGAGTAGTTAGAAATAAACGTAGGAATGTAGCACATATTTCGGCTCCTTTTGCTGCTGTCTGGATACTCTGGGTAATGGGAGAGTGCCTGAAGCCTCATTAAAGGCTTAGGTCGTTAATCACCATCAGAGCAGAGGTCCATGGATTCCGAAGGTACGACGAGGAGGAGAGCCATTACAGCTCAGTCGTACGGAAGCTCCGACATTTCAGAGCCTTCCTTACATGGGATCAATTCCAATCTGTTGCCTCCAAGGATGTGGACAGGCTGCTTGGACAAGTGAAACCGACCACCTGTCTCCTTGATCCTTACCCATCCTGGCTGATAAAAGCGAGCCAGGAAGGGCTGGGTGATGGGCTCTGCGGGGTGGTGAATGCTTCCCTCTGTGATTGAGCGGGTGGTTGCTGAACAACTCCAAGCACGCCTGGAGGAAACGGACCATTTGGATCCCTTCCAATCGGGATTCAGGCCTCACCATGGGACTGAAACTGCCTTGGTCGCGCTGGTTGATGATCTCCGGCGGGCTAGGGACAAAGGTGAGAGCTGTTTCCTAGTTCTGCTGGATCTCTCAGCGGCCTTTGACACCATCGACCATAACATCCTTCTGGACCGTCTAGAGGGGCTGGGAGCTGGGGGCACTGTCATACAGTGGTTCCGCTCCTTCCTCCTGGGCCGTGTCCAGAAAGTGGGGGGGGGATGAGTGTTCAGACCCCTGGGCTCTCACTTGTGGGGTGCCTCAGGGTTCTGTCCTCTCCCCCATGCTTTTCAACATTTACATGCAGCCACTGGGAGAGATCATCAGGGGGTTTGGACTGGGTGTTCATCAGTATGCAGAGGACACCCAGCTCTACCTCTCCTTTAAATCAGAACCAGTGAAGGAGGTGAAGGTCCTGTGTGAGTGCCTGGAGGCGGTTGGAGGATGGATGGCGGCTAACAGATTGAGGTTGAATCCTGACAAGACAGAAGTACTGTTTTTGGGGGACAGGGAGCGGGTTGGTGTGGGGGACTCCCTGGTCCTGAATGGGGTAACTGTGCCCCTGAAGGAGCAGGTGCGCAGCCTGGGAGTCATTTTGGACTCACAGCTGTCCATGGAGGCATAGGTGAATTCTGTGTCCAGGGCAGCTGTTCACCAGCTCCATCTGGTGCGCAGAATGAGACCCTATCTGCCTGCAGACTGTCTCACCAGAGTGGTGCATGCTCTAGTTATCTCTCGCTTAGACTACTGCAATGCGCTCTATGTGGGGCTACCTTTGAAGGTGACCTGGAAACTACAACTAATTGAGAATGCAGCAGCTAGACTGGTGACTGGGGGCGGCCGCCAAGACCACATAGCACCGGTCTTGAAAGACCAACATTGGCTCCCAGTACGTTTCCGAGCACAATTCAAAGTGTTGGTGCTGACCTTTAAAGCCCTCAACGGCCTTGGTCTAGTATACCTGAAGGAGCGTCTCCACCCCCATCATTCTGCCCAGACACTGAGGTCCAGCTCCGAGGGCCTTCTGGTGGTTCCCTCACTGCGAGAAGTGAGGCTACAGGGAACCAGACAGAGGGCCTTCTCGGTAGTGGCGCCCGCCCTGTGGAACGCCCTCCCATCAGATGTCAAAGAGATAAATAATTACCTGACATTCAGAAGACATCTTAAGGCAGCCCTGTTCAGGGAAGTTTTTAATATGTAACGCTGTACTGTTTTTAACACTGATTGGGAGCCGCCCAGAGTGGCTGGGGAAACTCAGCCAGATGGGCGGGGTATAAATAATAAATTATTATAATATTATTTTTATTATTCCTCTTCTGGGACTTTCCTAGGCTGGAGTCTCCTAGCACTCCCCTTAATTCAGCCAGCCCTTGACAGGTTTGGGGTCAGTGACCACCATATATACAGGGTGATTCATAATGAAGTATACAGATTCCAAATGCTGTAAGACATTAGCATCATCAGGCCAAAGTTACAGACCCTGAAACTGCGTCTTGCACGTTTCGTGCTGACGAGCGCCTCAAAATCAAGGACAGAAATAATCAAGAGTTCACGACAAAGGTAAGTTGGGCAAGCTAGATTGGAAACAATCACACTCATCCATGATGAAGAAACAAGCAAATCAATATACGTGGTCCTGATAAATCTTGTAAAAACAGAATGTGATTGCATCGGACTCCAGTATCGACCTATCAATATAACGAAGGGCACTGGTGGTCTTGCTCAGTACAAGGGACTTTCCTATGTTCTTATCTGGCTGGCCAAAGTGGGAAATGTGAGGCTGTGGACAGGAGTCACCAACAATTCAAAGTGTTGGTGCTGACCTTTAAAGCCCTCAACGGCCTTGGCCCAGTATACCTGAAGGAGCGTCTCCACCTCCATTGTTCAGCCCGGACACTGAGGTCCAGCTCCTAGGGCCTTCTGGTGGTTCCCTCACTGCGAGATGTGAGGTTACAGGGAACCAGGCAGAGGGCCTTCTTGGTAGTGGAGCCCGCCCTGTGGAACGCCCTCCCATCAGATGTCAAGGAGATAAACAACTATCTGCCTTTTAGAAGACATCTGAAGGCAGCCTTGTTTAGGGAAGTTTTTAATGTTTGATGGTTGACTCCTCCTGCTAAGCCAGAATGAACATTGGTCTGATTCAACAGGGCTCTGAATTTTGACAGAGACACTTGCACCCAACCAATGAGCGCATGCTCACTCGCACAAAAAGAGCAGTTTCTGATATTACCGCATTCTTGCACATTTGTGGCGGGGGTGTCTTTTTCGGAAGTATATTCAGCCTGCCCGTTTTGTCGGGAAAGAAAATTGCACCCTGATTGCTGGTTTTTCAAAGGTGTGTCAGCACTGTTGCCGTGATTTAATCAGTTAATGATGGCCTTTAAAAGCAGCGCTTTCATTTGTTTGTTTGTTTCTTTTATCGGCAAAGCTCTTTATCAGGAGGCCAAGGCCAAAGTCTACTGTGCTTTCCAGCTCCCTAACCAAATTCAACAAACAGGAAAAGGAATAAAGGGAAAGGGGCAAACTGAACTCATAGGTAACTGGGATTATTTAAACCGCAAAGCCAATTTAAGTAGGTGCTTCTGTGTGTATGTATGTCTGTGTGTATGTCTGTGTCCTAGATCCAGTTTCAAATGCACAAGCAGAAGGTCTCACTCGTAAGTAAGCAAGATACCTTTATTTGGGCATGTAATGGTACAGACTCAGCTGCAGACACGGGGCTCAGGAATCGCAGCTCAGGTGTTCAAGAACAGAGCAAGAAGTTGTACGCTGCAACAGCGGCAAGGGTCTTGATAGCACAAGGATGGAAGAATGAGGAAACCCTGACAAAAGAACAGTGGCAAGAGAAATTGATGAACTATGCAGAACTGGCGAAACTGACCTACAAACTGCGAGATAAGGACAACTGTGACTTCAAAGAAGAATGGGACCTTTTTACAAATTACTTAAAAAGACAACAAAATGAATTGGACTCCTTGGCAGGTTTTGAATAAACATACACAAATGTATTGATTGTTAACACAGTAAATAGATAAGTGCTACCTCGGGTTAAGTACTTAATTCGTTCCGGAGGTCCGTTCTTAACCTGAAACTGTTCTTAACCTGAAGCACCACTTTAGCTAATGAGGCCTCCCACTGCTACTGCGCCACTGGAGCACAATTTCTGTTCTCATCCTGAAGCAAAGTTCTTAACCTGAAGCACTATTTCTGGGTTAGCGGAGTCTGTAACCTGAAGCGTCTGTAATCTGAAGCATATGTAACCCGAGCTACAACTGTATAAGGATTTATACAATTTTACAGTATGTAGAGAATAATATGTGTTGAGAAATCAGAGAGAGGAGCTGAGGGAAGTCTCGGGGGAGGGAGGGAGAGTTCAATGAGGAGGTGGGGGGAAAAGGGGGGAAATAATGAATATGATATGTTTTGATATTTTGTTATGTTGAAATTGTTAATAATTTTTTTTTTTTTTTAAAGAGCAGAGCAAGAAGTTCAGGACAGAAGTGGCAATGATATACCAACAAGTTTCCACACCCAAACTGCCAAGCTTTTTAAAGATGAGGTGTGACATGCTCACTCCCGAGACATGCTCACCTTGCAGGAAGACTCCTCCAACCTCCACTAAGGTTCTCCACTCTGCAGGACATTTGGGGAAAGTCCTAACAGCCCTGTGGGAGTCATCATGCCATCCTGTGTCTGTCGAGGGTGATGGGCTTGTGTTTGTTTCTGTTTGTGAGAGGGAGAAAGATGGTGAGGAAGAAAGTCATCTGTGAATGTTATTGTTTGTGAGAGAGGAAGGGAGGGAAAGGGATGCTATCTGGCCCCTCCCAGTCCCGCTCCCATCGGCCCACAGCCCCAGACCAACTGCCAATCACTGCACAGGGCCTTCAGGGGGAAAGATGCTCGATATGGGGAACCACAGAGCATGGATATTTACACAGAAAAACTTCCTGTGTCCAAATTTTCCCTCTTTAAAGGTAAAGGTAAAGGGACCCCTGACCATTAGGTCCAGTCGTGACCAACTGTGGGGTTGCGGTGCTCATCTCGCTTTATTGGCTGAGGAAGCCGGCGTACAGCTTCCGGGTCATGTGGCCAGCATGACTAAGCCGCTTCTGGCAAACCAGAGCAGGGCACGGAAACACCATTTACCTTCCCGCCGGAGCGGTACCTATTTATCTACTTGCACTTTGACGTGTTTTCAAACTGATAGATTGGCAGGAGCAGGGACTGAGCAACGGGAGCTCACCCTGTCGTGGGGATTCGAACCGCCGACCTTCGAATCGGCAAGTCCTAGGCTCTGTGGTTTAACTCACAGCGCCACCCGTGTCCCCCAAGGTATAGCCGGCTCTAATCTTGAGGGGCTTCTCAGTGACAGGGTGAGCTCCCGTTGCTCTGTCCCAGCTCCTGCCACAGTGCCACCCGCGTCCCACAATCAGTTAAGGACAGATGAGAAAAAGTGATATCATCTGCAAACTATTTAGGATACATCGAATGCCAAAAATGTTTGCCACCCTTTTTGCAGACTAAATATTGCTTTCAGAAATCCAAAAGCAGTTCCCCGGTCTGAGGCGTTCCGTAGGAGTGCCGCTTCTCTAACGCAGCTTGCTTGTCATTTAAACCAGGCTTTTGTAGGATCCATTCTTCCCAGTAGATTCTACCTCTCATCTGTAATAGCCTGTCTTATGTCAATGAAAGATAATGCGTTTAAGCCATGGTATAAGCTACTAAAGTCTGTGGATGCCTTTCAATGGGCTTTAGTTCATGTCCATAGGGAGGGCATTATCCGCAGCAAGATTTATCATACGGCTCAGAGGAGCGTTTTGGCGTGAGACTTTGAGGCAGGGCTTTCGGAGCGGCGACTGGAAACAAATATGATCCTTACGCTATTGATTTTTCATTACCGATGGCAAAGCTGTTATGGCATCCCATTGCATAACCTCCTTAACGGTGCCTGTGGAATAAGGGGCATCTCAGCACGGAAGAGCATTGGATTTTTAATTTTTTCTTTTTTCAAAAAAAGGGGGGGGGAGTCGTGCTAAACAAGCGCTTACCAGTGCATTAAAATCGATCCCGTTTAAAGAGTTATTTTCTGCTGTACCTCGTGATAAAGTGTCTTGAGTGGCTGATGAATTTGACAGATGATTTTCATCGGGGCCTCTGGATGTGCTGCCTCAGCAGATCTCAGAGTCAAGCCACACATCTGTCACTTCCTCCCGTCAAGCCCCAGGATATTTAATTATATTAAAACCTCCTATCTGCATGTTTGAAGGTTTCCCATCCACCCACCCAACCTGAATCTTGGGCATGGTTTAAGCAAACGGTGTATACTGTTCTATTTTTTAATTTTGTTTCTGAAGAAAGCAGATCCAAAACAGATGTTCAGGTCGATCGGGCAATACTGCATGCGTGTCTTTTCTGTCTCCAACATTTGGATTCCGGAGTACGACAAGGGTGATTTTGGCCAGGGTCACGGGGTGGCGCTGTGGGTTAGACCACAGAGCCTAGGACTTGCCGATCAGAAGGTCGGCGGTTCAAATCCCTGTGATGGGGTGAGCTCCCGTTGCTCGGTCCCTGCACCTGCCAACATAGCAGTTCAAAAGCACGTCAAAGTGCAAGTAGATAAATAGGTACCACTCCGGCGGGAAGGTAAACGGCGTTTACGTGCACTGCTCTGGTTTGCCAGAAGCGGCTTAGTCATGCTGGCCACATGACCCGGAAGCTGTACGCCGGCTCCCTCGGCCAATAAAGCGAGATGAGTGCCGCAACCCCAGAGTCGGTCACGACTGGACCTGATGGTCAGGGGTCCCTTTACCTTTACCTTAAGTAGCAGAAGGGGAGGAAAGGGGAGTGGAAAGGATAAAAGGATAGGGCATATTAATAGAAACAATTCAAGATGGAAACCGTAGACTTTATCATAGAGAAATGTTTTCTACTGGGAAAATAAGTGTTTCAATGCATTAAGGAAACTCTACTCATGTGTCAGACTCTCCCAGGCTATGAAACAAGGAAAATTCAATAGTATACAAAGGTCACACCAATGGATGATTGTAGCAATTCTTGGCTCACAATGGGGAAGTGGCAAAGTACGCATGAAAAATCCACTCATATGGACCTATCTGAAATTTGCTTTCTTGATATGATTCTTCTCTTGTGGTTGTATTATGGTTAGCTTTATTTCATTTGAAGGAGGGGGGTGTCATGGTTTTTTAAATCTTGTTTCTTTTTCTCCTTCTACCACACCTAACAGGAGGAAGTTAAGGAAAACACTGAGGAAGGACCATAAAGGTAAAAGGTAAAGTCCAGTCAAAGGCGATTATGGGGTTGCTATGCTCATCTCACTTTCAGGCTGAGGGAGCCGGCGTTTGTCCACAGACAGCTTTCCAGGTCACGTGGCCAGCATGACTAAACCGCTTCTGGCGCAACGGGACACCATGACGGAAACCAGAGCGCATGGAAACGCCATTTACCTTCCTGCCACCGTGGCACCTATTTATCTACTCGCACTGTTGTGCTTTCGAACACCTAGGTTGGCAGGAGCTGGGACAGAGCAACAGGAGCTCATTCTGTTGCAAGGATTCGAACCGCCAATCTTCTGATCGGCAAGCTCAAGAGGCTTAGTGGTTTAGACCACAGTGCCACCCGTGTCCCGGAAGGACCATAGCATCAAGGTCCCAGTATCAATCCCAGGTGCAGTTCAGAGACCCTGTCTTGAAACCCAGGAAAGGCCCTGCAGTCAGAGTTACATGCATAGGAGCCAACTCCTAGGGGGCCAAGGTCCCTTTGCCTCCCACCCAATAAAATATTTGATGGGCGTTGTCTTAGAGATGAGAAGGCCTGGAAAAAAACAAGAAAAATTGGGGGAAAACAGTTTCCCCCCAGTTTCCCCCAAAGTCGGCGGAAAACACAGGGAAAAGGGGGAGGGGAACTGGGTTTTTTTCCCATTTCCCCCCATTTTTCTCAAGCCTCCCCCTCTCTAGTTGTCGTTCAAATAATGTGTGTGCATCCCTTCATGTGATTGTTTCTGCAGGATGAGGCTTACTTCCCTCCCCCTCAATATTTTATTCAAGTTAGTTAGCCTCCCTGGTTAGATGTGTCTCTGCATAGATTGTGCTGACTTTATTAGTCGTTCATTACCGTAAAATTAAAAAAACCCTGATGACCAGCTTACGCGTAATTATTAGCTTTGGTCATCAAAGGGTTCCGCAATCTAGGATTAAAATCGCACAGGGATCTTTGAAACGAACATGGGCTTATTTAAAGGACAATAGAGCTCGCCTTTGTGGAAAAAAAGAAAACGGGAAATAGAAGAAACACACCAAAGGGCTCAGCCAAGTCCAGATTAAGCAGATTTCAGCGGGAGTGTGAAACACATGCTCAAATCTCCCCCCATTGTCATCAAAAGGCCTGGAAAGGTGATTAATTTTGGCTGCTTTGTACTGGTTTGAAGGCAGCCCTGTATAGAGAAGGTTTTGATGTTAGATGTCTTACTGTGTTTTAATTTATTGGAAGCCTCCTAGAGTGGCTGGGATAACCCAGTTGGATGCGCGTCATAATTATTATTATTATTATTATTATTATTATTATTATTATTACCCTCCTTCGGTTTCCAGCAACTGGTATTCAGAAGAAATCCTTCTTATGACCATGGGGGCAGACCACAGCCATCATGGCTAGCCTTATCCTCCATAAATTTATCTAATCTTTTAAAAACATCCAAGTTACTGGTCCTCAGTGATCACTGCCTTCTGTTGGAGGGAGTTCCATAGTATAATTACGCACTGCTTGAAGAAGCACTTTCTTTTATCTGCCCTGGAATCTTCCTTGAATAGCCATGAGTTTCAATGTGATGAAAGAGGACGGGGGAAAACCTTTCTCTGTTTTTTCCATAATTTCGTGAACTCCTATTCTCCCATGCATATATAAAACCGTCTCGAAACCATGGCATATAAGAACAACTATATATATATATATTCAAATCCAGCAGAAGTACTGAGTGGGGTTAAGATCTCCCCTTAGAAGGCTGCTTGAAAGAAGCAAGTCTTATACAGGCTCCCCTTCACTTTTGTGCAACAAGATGAATTACAATTACACAGAGCTAACGAGATGGGAAACAAGAAAGAAAGGAAATTCTCGCCGATGAGATCTTGAAGATGCCAATATCCGGAATTGCTCGCTCTGTGCTTTTGCCCATTATCAGGAGCAATGAAGGACATTTCCTCTGTTGCACCAGGAAGAGTACAGTCGACATAACGTTAAGCCGGCATATTTCTTACTCAAATTATTGTCTTGCTCTGCTTCTTGTGCAATGGTTCTGTTATGTACTGAGCTGAATCCTAAAACAATAGGATCTGGAATGCAGCAGTCTGATTGGTCCGCAGGAGCCACCCAATCCAGCTCCAGGTGGAAGTGAATCAGTGACCTGATTGGTCTGCAGGAGCATCCAATCAGGCTCCTAGATGAAGTGAATCCACAACCTGATTGGCCTACAGGAGCAGCCTGGAATTAGCCAATCATGCAGGGCCCATTGTGTAAATAATGTATATATAGCTAGACGTTTGGGGGGAAGTTTCATTCATTGCTACTATGAGCTGAATAAAGAGCATGAAATTCACACTCGACTCCGAGTATATTTCAGATTCCTTCAGGGCAAGGTATGCCACAGATCCAATTAACTGAATTAAATTATAATTAATTGACACAACCACTCTCCTTTTTATTAACGTTGTTGATCTGCAAACCTACAATGGTCTCAGATGTGCCGACTCAGAAGATTGTCCCTTCCCCCCCCTGAGTGGCAGCTGCTCCGGGGTTTTCCTGTATTTCCTAGTTAACCTGAGCAGACAGCCCATCTAGGAGAAGGTAAATTCTGGTCCTAAACCTCTGCTGCTTTGTGAGACATATTCAGGAGAATAAAAGGCTAAGGAGCAAACCCTGCACATATTCAGAGTAGAGTATGGTTACCAGATTTTTTTCCAATGAATCTGGGGACCCTTTTTGTTTTGTTTTGTTTTGTTTTTGAAGCTGAGTAGCAACAGGGAGTC